TCAGAAAATGGGACTTAAAGGTATAATGGAGGATTTTTACAATTTTTTAAAGACCCACCCTCTCCACTTAAAAAAAAAAAAAAAAATGCACATGCACAACCATGTATCCTATCCCGAAAGGGAACGCCTATTAAATGCGTGTGAGAGCGTGCACGAGGAGAAATGGGCTTGTGCACTCTCTATTTAAAAGTTGCTGTTTGCATCGATCATACAAGCTTACTTTCCCAAATAAAATTTGCACCTTTTCCACCATGTCGGACTCACCACCGGTAGGTAAAAATGGGGACGTGCAGATAGGATGGCCTTCTGTAAACGTATCACCAGAATGATTGACAGTTAGGAGGACCACTTAATTTGATGATCCACTCGGAAAAAGAACATCCTCCACTATAGCTTTAAATAGCTTTTAGTGAAGCACGGTTTTTATAGCAGATGACTGGTCTGAGCATTTCAAAAGCATTAGATGTAAATCAATATTGAAACAGAACATATCCAGTGAGTGGATGTGGATTAAACATGTGGACCCTTGAGGCAGCAGTCAGCCACTCCAGATTCTCACTTTGAGGTTATTATTAACAAAGATCCAATAGGAAAAAAACAAATGTTTACAATATTTTTGCTCCAGTGAGCCTCGATAGTGGCTTCAACATTCCGAATGTCAGAATTTGGTGTAGATAACATGAAAGAATCCATCCCAACTGATGCCTGGAGTTAAAGTATGGTGGAGGATCAGTGATGCTGTGGGCCCTGGGAACCTTGAAAACTGACTGGAATGTGCACTGCAAAAAAAAAAAAAAAAAAAAAAGAATCTTAAAACAGATGCATTTTTTCTTGAATTGAGCAGGTAAACGAGACCTTTTGCCAGTGGAATAAGACAATTTACATTTAAAATAAGAAAAAAAGCAGCTGCTATGTCCTATTTCAAGCGCAAAATATCTAATTATTTTATTTTAAGGAAATAAATACTAATTCCGTTGGCAAATTATCTTATTTACCTATTCAAATTGATGGAAAAGGCACTTATTTTAAGGTATTTTCACTAGTTTTTAGATCATTTTTGCAGTGTGGTTTCTAAATAATAGGGAAAGATCAAAAACAATCAGCAAAATCATCACATAGTGGCTCATCAGACACAAAATCCTTCCTCTTTGTGGCCATCAAATCCTTTAGAGGAAAGAATAAAACTGAATAATTAATATTTCTGCTATCTAAATGTTAATTTAGGGCTTGTTACGCATCTCTGAGCAAATGCATGATTAAAACTCTATTTATTAATCCATGTGTTGGAAAGAAGCTCTCATTAAAACTGGGTGAGGCCCATCAAGTGCTGCGGGGAGGACCCGGTGATGTCAAAGCTGATGTAGAAATGAAACGGGGAAGCCTGCAGATCTCTGACGCCTTCTCAAGCTGTAAATCAGGGAGGGGGGGGAAGAAAAAACCAAACCCGTCAGCTTCTAATTGGAGAAAACAGGCGGTGCGTTTAGGGCCGGTTTGTCCACTGGAAACGCATCGTTAGCGCTGCGTCTCCTGGTCCACGGCTCACTGTGCAATCACGCATCTCTCCGTCCGTCACACCGAGGTTTCCCCCCTCTGCTGCATGCGTGACATCTCTCCAGGTCCGGCCGTGCCGCGCGCAGACACCTGACCGCCCGCATCGCGCGTCGGAGCCCCGCTGAGGCGACACTACAGCAGGACGCACGGATTTTCCTCTTTCACATCTCAGGCGAGGTTGGGATTTCCTCTTGTCCTTTCATTTTTTTTTCCATTCTCACACATCCTCCTCTCTCTGTGTCTTGGGTGGAGTCAACCAGGAATTTTCCAAATCGGGGAAAAAAAGCATCGGCGCGTCTTTAGGTAGGAAGCCTGCATAAATGTGAATTTCTGAATCTTTCTGAATCTGATTCGTGGCGTGGGATTTTCAGGTGTAAGCAGGGCCGCAGCTCTGTTTTCTCCTCTTATAAATAAGGAGAGGTCCTAATTTGACAGATCTGGATCTACAGTCACCATCAGGTTGTCTTGATTTAACGACACTGCTCCATCTGAGGCTGAAATCCTGCAGGATGAAGCCTCAGGATCGAAGACAAACCTGCAGGCCTGGTAGCTTCCTGTTAGGGTGTGTGGTTACAAACTACAAATTGGCTGCAAATAATAATAAAATATACTGCATATTAGATATGAAATTCCCCATCTCCCTCTGCAAAAACATCTGATTGATCATCTCTGAATTATATTTGATTGGATTCGATGGGAATGAACAGAGAGAGGGAGATAATGCATCAGGCTGCACCCCACAGCAGTGAGACACTTCATGCACATTCTTATGAAACACATCTATGGTCAGCTGCCTCCTCCTCTCCCTGCTGTTGCTGCCAAACTGGGCCAATTCAGTACTGAGGAGGGGTCACCACTTCCAAAAGTATTCAAACCCTTACATTTTTTAAACCATTTTTATGCTTTCAAAACATGCATCATTGGAAAGAAAATGTGTGTTTTTACAAGTTCTAATAATAATCATATAAAGGTGTTGCATGCATGTTTATGCTACTGCATCTGCCTGCTTTGCATAACTAAAAAACCAACGTTTCTTTCTATTGCTATATAAAATATATCAGTCAAAATATCAGTTTCAAATATATATATTTGGTTTCAATTAAACTCGGGTCTAGATTTTGACTGCCCCTTTTTAACACAACCATGAGCTTTGCTTCATAGCTCTACTTTGTGTAGATTTGTTGTCCTGCTGGAAGGTGAACCGCCACCCACCTCAGATCTCCAGCTTCTGCATGGAGCTCCATCCATCTTCACATCAACTCCAACCAGATTCACTTTACCTGATGAGGATAATCAACTCACCGCATAATGCCACAGCCAACATGTTTCACTGTGGGGATGGTGTGTGCAGGCACATATGCAGATTGTTTGCCATGCATACTGTTTTGCACGTACAACAAAACTTGTAATTTAGTCTGAACTGACCAAAGCACCTTTTTTTTCACATTTTTTTCCATGTTCACAACAGGACTTCTCTTTCTTTAAACAATGCCTTTGTGCAATAACTATATATATATATATACACCTATTTATATAAATACCCATTTAATACCCTGTGCAATAATACTGTGAAAGAAGAGACTTCAGCTGTTATACACATTACATTTCAGTGTTAATGTAACACTTTAAGAGTTAAATTTAATACCAATCTGAGTGCATTTGGTTAAATTATCTCTCTGCATAGTGTATATCTTATCTTACTCCAGTTGTTGTTGTAATAACTCTAAAAGAGTCAATGCACTTTGACACTACAGTACATATTTAACACTGTGGAATTTACTGAGTATATATATGTGGACGCACTGTATATACTGTATACACCCCATGCACGTTTTCCTCCTTTTGGCACCTTTTTTTTTTTTAGAATTGAGCCAATGTGAAAAGTGAATTTCTCCACTCTGAGATCAATAAAGTCTATCTTATCTCATCTTATCTTTCTTTTTGTTGCTCTTTCATGAAGCTCACACTCATAGAGTCTGACTAATATGAGGTCTGTATGTTGAAGCTCCTCAGGCGTTAGCATAGGTATCTCTGCAGCTTATCTGCTCAATGCTCTCCTTAGGGAGTACAGCCATGTTTTTTGCAGCCGTGCTGTTTATTTATTTTTTGTCGCTATGGATGAACAATGTTCTAGAAGAGGTTTAATGTTTGGGGTATTGTTCTATAACTGAAGCCAGCTTTACACTTCCCCTGAGCTTCACCTCTTACCTGTCTGCTGTGTCCCTTGGTGTCCATGATGCTGCTTGTTCACTAATGAACTGTATTTATTAATAGTGACTTCAGAAAACATTTCTCTTGGAGAATGGGAATAAACGTGGCTAAAAAAAGGAGGATGCCACATTTTTAGGGTGTGGTATTCACAATTTTTACTTCTGAAAAATGTTGAAACCAGGAATCCTTTCCATATCAGAAATATGCCATTGGTGGACAAACAGTTCAGGTGCACTGAGGCACGTTTTTAAGATGAAGTTGAGCAAACTGTGGATATTTTCCCTCCAGTTTGAAAGAGGTTTGTGAACATTGTAAACTGAATTTTTTTTTTTTTTTTTTTTTTTTTTTTTGGTAATTCACAATTAAACAAAGGATTATATTTTCCCCAATAGTTCGAAAAAAGATGTCATCCAAAAATACATTTCCACCCCCCAAAGAAATCATTTGTTCCTCTCTACACAAACTAGTTGATAAATACTTACTGCTGGAAATGTGGGAAAGTTTTCCCCAGTATTTTGCTCACCTCTTTTCTACCTCCATGTTTGTCTCAGGCACACCATGAAGGATTCCATCGCTAACAACAGCACAGCCAGCATCTCCCAAGCCAGGAAAGCAGTGGAGCAGCTGAAGATGGAGGCCTGCATGGACAGGATAAAGGTACAAAGATTATGTTTCTCTTCTTAGTTCAACTAGATGCTTCAGATGCATGAAAATCCTGAAAGACGCTGACAATAAAAAAAAAAAAACTAACAAAAAAAATAAAAGAAATAACAATTAAGTCAAGTAAAATTAGGTTGTGGTTGTTCATGTAGCGCCAATTCACAACAAGTTGCACATCAAGGCTCATTATAAGACAAATGGGTCCATTTCATGTCAAGTTATTTATTTAAAGCTTAATCTTTCTATATTCTGTTCATATCGTTAAATTGCATTCATAACGGAGTACAGGTGATAAATCATATTGTGCCAATTTATTAAAGGTTATCCAGGAAAAACATGTTTTCACCGTAATTGATTTTGCAGAAATCTCACATCCTAAGCAAGCAAGAGGCAGAAGTCAAGAGGGATAAAATAAAACTCCACTGGAGTGTAGCCCACTATGAGCCGCCATTAGCAATAACAAATGGGCGAGTACTGCTCATAATTAAAAAAAGACACACACAAGTTCAGTTACTTTAACAGGAAAAGGATAAACATTCAATCAATGAAGTCAAATATCTTGGTCATGTGTTGACAGACTGTCTGTCTGATGATGAGGACATTTACCATCAGGTCCGTATCATATACGCTCAGGCAAATATCCTTGTCCGGAAGTTTTGATTCTGTTCTGACGAAGTGAAACTGAACATGTTCAGATCATATTGCACATCACTGTATACGGCACATTTGTGGTGCAACTTTAAAAAAGCCAGTCTTCATAAGTTGAAGGTGGCTTATAATGATGCACTAAGACTTTTGTTAAATAAGCCCAGATGGACGAGTGCCAGTGAATTGTTTGTATCTGTTAGTGTCAGGACTTTTATGGCTGTTTTGAGAAAGCTTATGTATAAATTTATTTGTCGTCTAAATGAGTCTGATAATAGAATTATTTTACTGATGTCAAATATAGTGCAGTTAAATATTCATCTGTTCTTTGGAGACATTGGTATAATTGCCTCCTGAAGGGGTAGGCACC